CTTCTCCACCTATGACTGTCAAATCCATACTTGAAGAACAGGCTGTAAACAAGGCTTGCCTGTCTACCTGTATTCATGCCTAGAGGAAGGAGAGGCATCCATTTTGAGTGCCTGCCTTCAGGCTGGCCTCCCAACCTAAGGAGAGCACATGGGTGGAATGGGTTGTATCCCTGCCACAAGCTGAGCTAATTTCCTTGGCTTAATTCCATCATACCAATCCCTTGCCAGTTAGCCAAGGCACAAGGAGGCTTGTAGTCTTGAGAAGGGAGTGGGTAATAAGAGAATGGGTTCTGCCCTCTGTGAGGAGTTGACTCCAAGACTGCAGGAAGAGGTCTCTAGATAGATTTGGAGGGAAGCAAGGCTAAGTTGCTGGCATTTTCTAGCCTATGCAGGAAGTCTAAGCCTTATAGTCCCTTTTCCTTGAAAGGACACAAACCTTTTCTCTAGCACTCTCAGGCAATTGAGGGTCACAGAATTCATTCATTTTTCTTTCTTTCTTTTGGCAGTAATGAGGACTGAACTCAGAGTTTTGCATATGTGAGGCAAGTGTTCTACCACTTAGCCACATCTCTTCACAGGTAACAAAATTAATTCTGAAAAATGACAGCTACTCAGAGGAGGGAACAGAGAGAATTCTGGCATTTTCAGAAGCTGTGATCTAGGTGCTTTGAAAGGGAACATGTTTCAGGTGTGCAAGGCAGAAATAAGAACAGCAACCTAAAGCCTTCCTATGGATTCTCCCAAAATATACTGGTTTCTTAGATCAAGAGCCTTTTCCCCCACACCTATCTCCCCTCTCTTAATCTGTAGGCCCCTGGGAATCTGACATATATGTCTCTTATAAAATCAGAGGACTCCTTCTGATATTAGTAGGTTAGCCATGGGATACCTGTCAGTCTTAGAGCTCACTAGTATAGCAACAAAATGTAGTAGTTAGAACATGGATGATGAAGTTTGGACCTGGATTCAGGTCCCAAATAGCCCATGTGATTCCTTAATTCACTCCTTCCTGTTGTCCTTTGTTCCTCCCTCCCTACCTTCCTGTTCTGTGCTGAAAATTGAACCCAGGGCCTCATACATGCTAGGCAAGCACTCTACTGCCAAGGTATATCCCAATCCCTTTTTTATTTAGAGATAGAGTCTTGCAAGGCTGGCTTTGAACTTGAGATTCTCTTGCCTCAGCCTCCTGAGTAGCTGGGATTACAGGCATGTACCACCTTACCTGGCTAGCCCATGTGATTTCTGCGCTTTAGCTTTATCTGTAAAACAACCCCATCTCAAGAGTTGTTCAGATTTTTTTTTTTCCTTTGTGGTGCTGGGGACTGAACCCAGGGCTTTGTGCATGTGAGGCAAGCACTCTACCAACTGAGCTATATCTCCAGCCCAAGTTGTTCAGAGTTTAAAATAAAGTATGTAAAGAGTTTATTTATTTATTTTAAAGAGAGAGAGAGAGAGAGAATTTTAATATTTATTTTTTAGTTTTTGGCAGACACAACATCTTTGTTTGTATGTGGTGCTGAGGATCAAACCTGAGCCACACGCATGCCAGGCGAGCGTGCTACCGCTCGAGCCACATCCCCAGCCCAAGAGTTTATTTATAATGTGCTGAGCACAATGGTGCACACCTGCAATGCCAGTGCCTTGGGAGGCTGGGGCAGGAGCATCACAAGTCCAAGGCCAGCCCTGGCAACTTAACAAGACCCTCAACAACTCAGGGAGACCCTGTCTCAAAATAAAAAGGCCTGGGGATGTAGCTCAGTGATAAAGTCTCCCAGGGTTCAATCATCAATACCAAAAAAAAAAAAAAAAAATTCTATAATTACTAGCAATTATTAACTCAGAGATTTTAGTCTGGGAAGTGAGTAGAGTGTGCAAGGGTGGGCACTGAGGTATTAATAAGCCCTGCTGTTCCTCCACTAAGAAATTTCCCAAGGTGACAAACATTTAGGTGTGAAACTAACCTCTGGAGTCCTAGCTTATATCTAGGTATCTTGGAAAGGCAAAGACAGGCAGGAGCCCCGGGGAGTCAGAAGCACAATTTTAATAAATGAGAAAAAGCATGAAAGGTTGAGTAGGTGTAAGAGGAATACATCAGAACATTTGGGGATCAGAGGAGGTGAGACACATTTCTTAATTGCCCATGAACTTGTATGTTACCTTAATGAAGTTGAGAGGGGAAAGTACATCCATGAAGAAACTGCTCCATGGGTCTTCAAAGGCAGTGTCAGAAAGGCGGCTTATGATCCCAGAGTTCATTTCCTGCAAACTGACCATCCCAGGTTAGAAACTCATTCCCTAGCCTGAAGAATACTGCCTCTGTCATAGTCATTCAGTACTGCCCCAGCAGACTTTCAAGTTCTGGGTTCTGATGAGCATGATTTCTCTTTCTCCCAGCTGTCCTGTTACTGATGTTCAACCCTTGGCGATTGCCGACCCCGGATAAGAAACATGAAACTGGCTCCAATGAGGCTTAAAGTTCTTTACCTTTAGATTCCAGAGTAAGGGAGGACAGGTTACAGAAACTCCCCAGAGAGAGAGAGAGGAATGGGTAAAGGAGCCCTGAAGACACCTACCCAATAATATATATGTCCAGATTCATATCTTGTTTGTTCAGCTGAAGCAGGTCACTGAGGTCTAGAGGGGGTGCTGCTGAGGCTACATTCCACGTCACAACATGTACACTGTGGAAGGGATGAAAAGAGAAGTCATGGAGAAATGGGGGTTAAGACCTTGTCAAGATAATGGATGGGGTCTAGGCATGCTAATAGCTGCATCATAATCCATTGCAGTAATAATGGAAAATGTGTTTCTATGTCTTCTGGTGGTAGCAAAATGAACAAAGAACTACATAAGCTCTTCATCTTCATTTTTGTTCCCTGAAGCAGGAATCTCTGCTCTGAACTGGCTCTTCCATACAGGCCCAGAGCTGTGCATACCTAGCAACACTGCCACTGCTAACAGCAGAGATGACAAAGAGAACTCAAAGACTTTTAGTCAGGGGAAGAGATGAGGGGCACTGAATAGCCAGCCATTTATTAATCCATCAGCTCCTTCAGCCATCCATGCTTCAGCAATCATCAATGGCTCAGTCAGCAACTTCCTATCCCCACTCCTCAACCAAGGGGTTCCTAAGATCACCAGGAAAATCCTGGGAGTTCAACTGTACCTGGTGATAAGCCTCATGATTATAAAGACAGGGAAATTTAAAAAACAACAGAGATAACACCACATTCCCTTCCTTGCTCCTTCCTAACAAATTCATGGAGCACAACAATCTTGCCAAGCCCATCAGGGAGCCTAAGGAGAAGCTTCTAAATAACAGGTTTCTCAACATCTCTCTATAAACTACCCTCTCTTGAAAAAGTCATCAGCTGGTTAACATTCTCCATCTCAGCTCCATAAGAATTCCAGGGAAACAAGAGAACTATATCAGTGGCTCTCAAAAACACTACATCCCATCAGAAGCTCAAAGGAGGTAAAGAAATCTCTTAAAGGGAAGTTACAGCAACATTCCAAGGATGCCCAGACTGTGCTAAGTACAGAGCAAGCAGGAACTGCAGACCCTGCAGAGACCAAGAACAGCCACCAAGCCTCCTGTGAATCCCAGGAACACTGTGAGTATGAATACCTTCAGCAGTTAAAGATCTGGAATGGGGGTAGGGGTTAAGAGGGGTAGATGGAAGAGAAAGGCAGGTTGTTCCAAAACATCTGTTCTCCACCAGACCCTGTTCTTAGAACATGACTTGAAGAAATTCTTGGCCAGCTTAAAGCTATGAACATAAAATACAAAACCCTCTCTATGAAAATAAAATACAAAACCCACATTCTCAAGAACTTTGAGATTATATACTTGAATTGTTTATTATCTCCCCCTGCTGTTCAACAAAGGATTAAGGAAGGCAAAGCCTCCTGTTTTCCCAGGGACTTGTTCTAAGTGGATGAAGAACAAAATTCTTGTCCCCACTCTTGATGATTAGCAGCAAATCCATGCATCGTGACTTACACTACGTGGTGATTAGCTTTGTTCCTCCTGAAAGAGCAAGCATAAGACCAGGCTTCACTTCACTAAAAGATCTTACCTAAATCTGATTTCGGATTTCCGGAGGTCATAATGGGATCAGGCAGATCCCATGGTCTATGTGCTGATGACAAGCAGGATCAAGATTTCTACCCTAGAACTGAGTGGCAAATGCCTTAGTATGTCCTTAATTAGCCCAACACAGCTGTCTGTCTGCTCCAAAAACCAACAGGGCACATGAATGGGAAGCCCCTGCAGGAGCGAGCTCGACCGTCTACGTTGAGAGGACGTGCGAGGCTCGGACCCAATCTATTCCATTGGACACTGGCCTAATAGAATTTGAGAGAGCCTCCGAATCAAGCCAGTCGTGTAGCTCTGGCCTCTTCCTTCCTGCTCTGGTTCCATCCCCTAAGCCCGCAGTCCCGATTGGGTTGAAAGCAACAATCCCCTGCCGGAGCGGGCCGACCTGCTCCCTTGCGTCCTTCTCACCTAAGCTTCTCTCTTTTCTTCCCAGGCATCTTCCGCAGGTTCAAGGCCGCCATCCCCACGCTATGACCAGGCGGGCTCGCGTCTCCTTTCCCCAGCAGATCCCAGCCAGGGAAGCCCCTCTAGAGGCTGATCTTGCTCTCTCCGGGTTGTTTTTCTTCCGGATTCTGACCGTCCGCCTCGGCTTCCGTAGGAGGCGGATCTTAATACGCCAAGGGCTCCGGGTGGTGCCGTCGAGGGAAGAGGCGGGACTCCCCAACAAGCGCGAAATAACCAGAAGCTAAGAAAGGGACTCAGGGGATCCGGGGACGTAAAAGAGGCGTGTCTTGCCTGTCATCATAACTCAACGCAACACTGCCCCGGCAGGCGAGCTGAAGGACCGCAGCCGGGCCGCCGCCGCTCCCAGCCTACCCTGCGCTAGGCCAGCCGGGAACCGCTTCCGGCGGAACTCGCCCGCACGCCCATGCGAGTTTCCGCGCTCTAACTCTACGCCCTCGGGTCAGGTACGAGGCTTTGCGCTCAGCCCTTGTTGTCCCTCCAGCCTCGCCACACCCAGACACCCAGGGGAAAGACGTGAGTGGGGACACGCAGTAGCCACTGTCCTTCCTGAGACCCGGTTTCTCCCTCACTACAGGTAATTCACTCAGTCCCTAGGCATTTCACTTTGGTCGTGGGCGTCTGCATTTAGTTCTTTTCTGCCGCTTTCAAGTGGCTCTCTTTCTTTTGGTACTGGAGATTTAACCCACAGGAACTTAACTCCCAAGCCCATCCCCAGCCTTTTTTTTTTTTATTGTTTATTTTGAGACAAATCTTGAGACTAATTTGATGCCCTCCTGCCTCGGCCTCCGGAGTCGGTGGAATGAAAGGCGTGCGCCACCGCACCCGTGTGGCTTTTGCTTTTGAACTCATTTTCCCTATTACTAAACATGGGACATTTCTCTGGACTCTTGAAGATGAGCTATCAATGAATGAAAATAAGCCACTGCTTATAGATTTGGTCTAGATTCAAGACTAAACATGAAATGGAGATTATTTACTTTGCCTAAGATTCCTAATAATTTCGTTAAAGTCCTTGGTTCTTAATCTTTCTTGGCGGCAGCAGGTAGGAAACGTGTGGGATTCATTTGAGAACCATGCCTTCTCACGGCAAAAAATGCACGCGAGTTTACAAAGGAGCTTCATGAGGCTCACAGACCCTAAAACCAGGGTAAGGACTCCTTCTTTAGCCAGTAAAGTGTGGCCGGTTGTCCACAGTCCCAGGTATTCTAGAAGCTGAGGCAGGAGGGTCGCTTGAGCACAAGGTTTGAGGCCAGCCTTTGGAACACCGAGCACTGACACACACACACACTAAAAAAAAAAAAAAAAAAAAAAAACTGGGCTGGGGCTGTACTCAGTAATAGACTCAGTAATAGAGAGCTTGGCTAGCGTGAGTGAGGCACTGGGTTCAATTCTCAGCACCACATAAAATAAATAAGTAAAGGTATTGGGGAAAAAAACAAATATTTTATACCTTAAATGTTTTTGCTTGGTAGGGTAGATAAGAGGGATATGTGAAGAGGAGAGGTAAAAAAAAGCAAAAAAGGGAATACTATCAGTAAAAAATGGCTAAATTACATTCAGATATGCAGTGTTACATAAGTAAATCAACAAGGGCTTGTATCTTTTCCCCAGTCCTGCTCTGGTGAAATGGGGAACATCTGAAAGAGTTTGAAGATATTAGAGTTATATGGACATAAGAAATCAATAAGATGGACTCCAGAAAGCTCTGTCTAGGATTTTATTAGACTGCTTTTTTTTCCCAATATACCTGTATTGGAAGATTGAGACAAAAAGGCACAAACTCACATTAAATAAACAAGGTAATCTAATCAGTTCTACAAAGTGTAGTTTGTAAAAGAAGGAGCACTAGGAACCAACCAAAATAAGTCAGGGAGTCCTGGTATGGACTGTGAAAGGAGAACATGGGAAGATATACACGTGCCCACAATACTGACCCTGTCCCTGACCTCTCTCAATGAGGAGGCCCAGCAGCCCTTGTGTAGAGGCATTGCTGCTTTCATTTGGGACTAAGACCCTGGAAATCTAATGGAAGCAGCTGGTCTGAAGGGGCATGGCACAGCGTCAGGTATAATCCCTGGAGCTAAGCCTTTGCTCATCATAAGCCCCTCTGAGTGCTCATCAGTTTTGGGGTGGAGAAGGAAAGAAGGAAGGGGCCACTTAAAAGAAGCCAACACTGTTGCCCAGCAGCAACATCATCCATAGGGATGGATTAGAAAGAGATATCCCTCCTCTTGTTTGTGTGGGCAGGAGCCCCAGATCTAGGCTGATCTTGAGAAATTCCAGCTCAGCTCATTTAGATGCTTTCAAACAGGGCAACAGGTAGAAGTGGGAGAAGCCAGAGAAAAGGCAAACGAAGAGTGAGCCCCCACCAGAGCTGAAGTGATATGTGTAGATCTCAAAGAACTGAACAAAGGAGGCTAACATCTGCTGATCCTCACACCACATAAACAACTGTCTACTTAGAGTCAGTTTCTCCCAAGAAAACCCACACCTGGACCTCACCTAGTTGATGAATGAAGAAGAAAAATCTTTAAGCACAAATATAATTAATAGCTAATATAGAGCTTGCAGGAAAACATTTAAATTTTTCTCCTGTAGGAATGTCTCTCTTCAACTTTTCCAATCCAATCCAATACATGCTCCTAGCAGTTGAGATGCTGATCACCAGCTGAAATGCCCCAGGTCCATTACCAAAGACCCTACAAGGTGAGGAGATTAATACATAGGAAGGTACCTATAATGAGATATCTCCTGGTCCCAAAGGGACCTCAATGAAGGTCAGAGCTAACCATGCTGAGGGATCCGAATCTGTCTACCCTTGCCCTAGGAGGGCCACAGGGAAGCATCTGTCAGGAGGATATCACAGGTGCAATCTGTGAGACGCTCCATTATTGCACTTAGAAATGAGTAAGGCAAACACACAGACAAAACTTAAGGATAAAATGTCCCTTCCCACTTCTCATTCTAAACAGATTTGGTTTCTCTCATTAGCAGAGGGACCCAGGCTAGTATGGGTTTGGGTCACTGCACACTCAGGCCAACATACTTCACAAGGCTTGGGAAATGTCAGGTGACACCATAGCTATCTCATATTCTCCCATCAAGAAGGCATACTCAGGTTCTGCTGAGTCAAGGAACTGGGAAGCACTCAGCAATTTCTACTTCCCTGGAGCCTGGACTTGTTCACCAGTCTACTTTAGTGGAGTTCTTCCACTACGATCAGTGCTTGCTTCTGATTGTCCAGGACAGAACTCAGCATGGGCAGGACAAGCTGAGTTCATGATTCCCAAATTCTTTTCCAGTGATTGGAGACAAGAGGGTACATGTTCTGCTGGGGGAGGAGGGAATTTTTGCATGCTCATTTTGTGCAGCATGAAAAGATCAGGACTTCTGCATCCTAACCAGCCTCAAAGACAGAGGACAGGGATCAAAGAAAGCATAGAGAAAAGAGAATTATTGCTGAGTGGCAGCACCAGCCCAAAAGGGAAGAGGAGCCTAGAGCTAGCTCCTCAGGGGTCAGATGGATTGGTATCTATGGGGCAGATTCAATTCTAAGGGCCACGCCGGACAATTCCCTCCAGGTGGAAAGGTGACCAGGGTGTCTTGTAGGCTCTGCAGAGAAATTCAGACATAGTGGGCAACAGAAAGACCAAGAAATCACGCTTGTTTGTAAGAACAGTGGCCAGAGATGCAATGACTGGGGCAGGGATTATTCATATGGGTTAAATTTTCTTTAAACAGAATCTGGGCCTTGGGTACCTCCTTCGTGCTTAGTACATTGTAACAATGGGTAACTGGGAACAGAGGTAAGAGTTATGAAGCCACATTGCTATTCTGTGGAACTAGGTGGGGGAAATAGGGGAGGATACTGTATTTCTAACTCATCTTCTCTCCCCAGGTGAGCATTCAAAATTTCAAGGATCTGCCCAGGAAGCAAAATACCTCAGTTTATCCCAAGGCTGAAAACAAATGAACTTAAATCACCACATCACAAAAGGCAGCTAACTTGAAGACTAAAAATGTCACTTGGAAATTAAGGTGGGGGCATACCCAGAAATGGGGCAGAACACAATGGAGAGAGAGGGAGGAGGTGTAAATACAGCAGCCTATACACCACATATCTCAGAGGAACAGGCTCCCGTAATACCAGACGGTCTATTTGTTCACAATATTAAAGGGCATCTAGAATTAGCTACAGTAAGGAATTGAAAGTTGCCTGAAGAATGGGCACAGAAAGGCTGCGTCCGAAGATGGCCTGTCACTCAGGAGGGTGGAGCTGCTGGGCCTTCCTGTTGACCACTGTCTTGCGAAACTAGAAGAGAAATACAATTATTAAGGAAGCAACAGGAAAACAGAAGCACATTGTAAATCATCTTGAATGGAGGAATTTCAAAAGGAGGAAGGATGCTAGTTGTGGGGAGGGGAGTGGGGGAAGAAGGCACTAAGGCCCCAGCAGTGACTAAAAGCTGGCATTGCAGCTATCCTCTTAATCCTACCCTTCTGTCTCCCAGAAACTGCTTTAAGAACATGGGGCAGTGAGTGTAAACAGAGGTTTGCACCACTGCTGGTGAGACTCTGGTGCTCCTTCATTTTTGGGGGCTATAGGACAGCCAGTTTATTTGATTAAGTAATTTTCATTCAGAGCCTAATCTGGGAACAGAATCAAGTTTTTCTTCCTAGGACCAAGACCACTCTAAGCTGCTGAAATAACCTGAATCTGGAGCTAATAAGAGGAAGAAACTTTAGGAAAAGTGACAATGTGAAACAAGGGTCACTCCTATTCCTGTCCCGTGATCTGGGCAGAAACTCTCCTAGCATATGAAATGCTAACTCTATTGAAGACAGCTATTTAGTATGGGACAGGGGGATATAAAATAGGCAACAAAATGCCAGATACAGAGATGAATGCTAAAAGAAGCTGTCTGGCCAACAAATTGTCCAAGGAAATTGAACAGGGCAGGGATGTGAGAACTAGAAAGTCTGGCATGAATAGTACAGGAAAGTCCCCCAACATGCCACCTTCAACTATGGCTCAAGTTGCAAGAGGGGAAAGTGAATGATGGATTTCATTCATTATTGTGAATTATAAACTTTGCTTCTGTGTCCACAACCCTCTACCCTTCTTGTTACCACCCTGTTAACATCTATCTAGGTGAGTCTTTGTAAAATATGTCCCTTAAGTGTCCTAACAACATAAAATCCCTTTCATTACAACACAAAAGCTTGCCATTTACCATGACAGTCATTATCATTACTAGAATAAAGGATGAGGAATGAAGTAAGTTTTCTCACTCCATAGTGAGTTGATGAGGTTGTAAGGACCCAAACTAATTGCAGCTTCTATGACAAGCCCAGTGAAAAATATAAAGTACATACAGTGCAGAAGGGGGAGGGGTGGCTTTAGTCGTCTGCTGTCATTCCTTTCACTGGGTCCTTTTGTCTCATCTGGAACAGAAAAAGCAACAAAAATTAAAGGCTGATGTAACTCCACCATAAATATGTACTGCCAAGAGATAGGGTAGAGCATTTTTAATGCACAAAGCAAAAACTGGAATGGCAGAATTCTGCATATATATAGCCAAAACTATATCATTTATAAGCTCTGTTGTTGGTCTCACCATTCATAACAACTTAGTAATTTGCTAATGCAAAGCCAGGTTCTATTTTCTCACTGCCTTTATTTATTTATGTATATATATGTTACCAGGGATTGAACCCAGGGACATTTTTACAGTGAGCTATATCCCCATCCCTTTTTATTTATTATTTTGAGATGGTCTTATTAAGTTGCTGAGGCCAACCTTGAACTTGTGATCCTCCTGCCTTAGTCTCCCCAAACCCAGGGCTTGCAGGTGTGTGCTATCATGCCCAGCTTTCACTGTCTTTAATAAGATGCAACTTTCTATCAGGGAACATGACGGCTTCCCCCACTTTCAGAGATGAGTTTCGTCCTCCACCGAGGGTACCACTGAAATAATTCAGGGTTTTATTTTTACAGTAAATGTCCTAAGAATGGTTATTTCCTGCTTCCTGGGGCCTAAATGACATGAGAAATTAACCAGATATTTTGCTATTCCTCAGTCACAGCCATGATAGGCTTTACATACAGTTGAAGAACATGAAAACAGAAATACCTGGAACAGAAAAAGCAACAAAAATTGAAATCCTTTTTTTTTTGTTAGCAGTGGTGTCCACTAGGAAATGAGGCCCATTGAACCAATGGGATTTTATTATTATTATTTGTAAATGGACACAATACCTTTATTTTATTTGTTTTTATTTTTATGTGGTGCCAGGGATTGAACTCAGTGCCTCACACATGCTAGGCAAGCGCTCTACTACTGGGTCACAATGCCAACCCGGACCAATTGGATTTTTATTTTTTGGTGGTACTGGGGATTGAATTCAGGGGCCACTGAGGTTATGTCCCCAGCCATTTATTGTTTTTTTTTTTACTTTGAAACAGGGTTTCACCAAGTTGCCCAGGCAGGTCTTCTGCTTCAGCCTCCCAAATCACTGGCATTACAGGCATGTGCCACATGCCTTACAGAAAACCATACTAGATACAGGAGGATCGCAGATTCAAAGCCAGCCTCAGCAGGTTAGCAAGGCCCTCAGCAACTTAGCAAGACTCTGTCCCCCAAAATAAAAAGGGCCAGGTGTGGTGGTGCATGCCTGTAATCCCAGTGGTTCAGGAGGCTGAGGCAGGAGGATCTCATGTTCAAAGCCAGCTTCAGCAACTGCGAAGCGCTAAGCAACTCAGTGAGACCCTGTCTCTAAATAAGATACAAAATAGGGCTGGGGATGTGGCTCAGTGGTCTAGTGTCCCTGAGTTCAGTCCCCAGTACAAATAAATAAATAAATAAGGTCTGAGAATGTGGCTCAATGGTTAGGGCCAGGTACTTAAATAAATTCAATATAGGGTAATGATAGAACAGCATATTTTGCTGTCATAAACATGTACATAAAGAAATTTTGAGGGATAATATATGCTGGAGAGGATGTGGAAAAAAAGAAACACTAATTTAAAGTTGGTGAAATTTTCAACCACTATGGAAATCAGTATAGAGGTTCCTCAAAAGATTAGGAATGGGCTGGGGGTGTGGATCAGTGGAGCACTTGCCTAGCATGCATGAGGCACTAGGTCAATCCCCTGCACCACATTTAACAAAAAAAAGGGCGGGGGGTGATGGGGATGTGGCTCAGAGGTAGAACGCTCACCTTGCTCATGTGTGGCCCTGGGTTCAATTCTCAGCACCACATACAAATAAATAAATAAAATAAAGGTATTGTGTCCAACTACAACTAAAAAAATATTTAAAAAAAGAAAAAAAGATTCTCTTAGAACAAAAGCAGAGAGGGAGGAGAAAGTGGGTGAGAAAGAAACTACTCTCTTACAAGCACATATTTCATGGGCATAGAAATAATTTTTCAGGGCAAAAACTAATCTCTTGATCCTTTTTTTTCCCCTCATATTGTTGGGCCTCACCCAAGAATGGTGAGCCTGCCCCTTCCAGGGACTAGATTTACCACAGTGGTGACTGTGGCCTTATGGTGTCCCTTCAAAACAAAAAAACCAATGAACTAGACAATTATTCATTGGTTTAAAGAATAACTCATAATTCCTACTACAAACTTGCAGTTAATCATGAAATACTGAATACCTGTATTTATCCCTCCCCAAAACCCTACTACGATGGAGAAAAGAAATTAAAACAAAAAGATAAAACCACAAAAACAACAGCAGAGGCAACAACAGCAAATAAGAGATGGTAACATTCTGAAGATGGAAAAAGGATGGATGAGTAGTAACTAATTCACAGAGTAGCAGAGGCTGACACCTAAGTATCCTTGAGGACAGGGAGCCAAGAAGGAACCTATTAGTTTATGCTGCAGGTTCTCCAAAGGTCCAGGTGTACTTTCTCCTTACTCTCCAGGTCAAGCAACCACCCCACTTTAGGCCACATCAAAAGACAGGAAGTTCACTCGAGATGCAAAGGGAAACCTAGACTTGGGACCCCAATTCAGTAAGGGGCAAAGTAGGCATGGTGCAGAAAATGAGGGGATTAAATTAAGGCCAATGGTGATACAGTGAATCTGCCAGGACCCTTTCCCAGTTTGGTTCCCAAAATGTTGGCTACCTAACTACCCCTATACAAGAGACTGGGGCTGAGTGTGGTGGTGTATGCCTGTAATCCCAGTGGCTCAGGAGGCTGAGGCAAGAGGATCGTGAGTTCAAGGCCAGCCTCAGCAAAAGTGAGGTGATAAGCAACTCAGTGAGACCCTGTCTCTAAATAAAATACAGAATGGGGCTGGGGATGTGGCTCAGTGGTCGAGTGCCTGTGAGTTTAATCCCCAGTACCAGAAAAAAACAGAGAGACTGGGGAGTCCTCTCTAAGCAAAACACAGTCCCTCAAAAGACTCCCCATTGTAACTACCTGACTATCCCTACAAGGAAGCCCTCTCATTGGTTTGATGAAAGCCCCTAACATTAAAAAAAAAAACAGTCCAAGGGGCTGGGGATGTGGCTCAAGCGGTAGCGCGCTCGCCTGGCATGTGTGCGGCCCGGATTCGATCCTCAGCACCACATACAAAAAAGATGTTGTGTCCACCGAAAACTAAAAAATAAATATTAAAAAAACTCTCTCTCTCAAAAAAAAAAAAAAAAACAGTCCAAGCAAACTGACAAAAGAACTCAGAGGAAACAGAATATTCAGGGAGCAGAAAGAAACCTCAAAAAACAAAAATGAAAAAAAAAAATCCTATGGCTTTAGAAACTGTAGCTTTAGAAAAGGAAGATAGTGCATGTAAGGAAAAAAAGGAAGATGCATTTAAAAAAAAAAACAGAACAAGAAATTTGAAGTTTTTTTTCCTTTTGTTACTGGGAATTGAACCGAGCATCCTGCATATGCTAGACAAATGCTCTACCATTGAGCTACAGCCCCAATCCCTTTTTATTTTTTGGATATATTTTAGATAATTATCTATCCATTTTTATTATTATTTTCCTTTCCTGCATTGTAGTAGGGTTTTGGGAAGGAATAAATACAGGTATTCAGTCTTTCCTGATTAAAATTGCTCACACTGGCCTTGCCTCAGCCTCCCAAGCTTATGCCACCATGCTAGCTTAAAATTTTTTAAAATTCACCAGGCACAGTGATGCACACTAATCCCAGTGAATGAGGATGATGAGGCAGGAGGATCACAAGTTTGAGGCTGGCCTCAGCAATTTAGTGAGGCCTAAACAACTTACCAAGACCTTGTCTCAAAATAGCAAAAAAAAAAAAAAAAAAAAAAAAAAATTTTTTTTAACTCAACAGATGATAAGTTAACAATTGGAAAAAGTCTTCCAGAGGGTAAACAAAAAAAGAGAAAGAGAGAGAGAAATAAGAAGAGTAGAGAGTTTCCCGGTGTGGTGGTGCACGCCTGTAATCCCAGTGACTCTTGAGACTGAGGCAGGAAGATTACAAATTCAAGGCAAGCCCCTGAACTTAGAAACTTAGCAAGACCCTACCTCAAGATAAAAAAGAAAAAAGACTGGGGATGTAGCTCAGTGGTAAAATGTCTGTGTTCAATCCCCAGAACCAAACAATTGGGAAGGCTAAATTCTGACTAATAAAAATTACAGAATGAGAACAAAGAAAACAGAGGGGAGGAAAATATCAAATAAATAATACAATAACATTTTCCTGAACCAGAAATCGTTGAATTCAAAGACTAATAGAGCAGAATGAATGAGAATGGACCAATACCAATAGCACCCACATTATCATGCACTGCATCTCCCACTAACCACACCAAGCCAGCCACAGAAAGACTCAAAAACAAAGCTTGTCTTTATATGTTTATATCATTGAGTTAACAAAAAGAAGACAGTTATTAATTTTATTAAAAAAATTATCCAAGGAATGAATGAAAATCTAAGTAGACTACAGGCTTCAGTTGGGAAAAAAAATGGCAAAGTCATAATATAAGCAGTGAATAATGAATTAACCAAAACTTGTGATATTGAACGGTGGCAAGGGGAAGTATTTGAGTGATGAGTGGCATAACAGGGTGAAATCTCCCATAAGGAAGAAGGCAACAGTTAAAGTTCAGAAATTAAGAATT